ATAAATAGATAGGCCTAGGAATGTCTTAATAAAGATAGAGCCCTTGCCTAGTGCACAGGGAGCCCTGAGCAACACAGAAGTGGGGGTCGGGGTAGATTTTGGTTAGTGTGGAAAGAGCTACCAAGAAAGTTCAAGTGAGTGTCCAACAAAACTTAGAGGAAGAACTTGGGCCAGGAGGATGTAGCAGCCCCCAGTGCCTCACACATCTGGAAGCCAAGCAGGTGGCCCCCATACTGTGAAGCTGACACGTGCGCACGGGGAGCCCAGGACACATGGGCACTTGGGGTTCCTCTCAAAAGCAAGGGAACCCCAGAAGAAATTAAAAAGTCAGGGCTGGGGAGATGGCTCAGTGGAATAAGCGCTTCCCTGGCAAGCGCAAGGGCCTGAGTTCAAATCCCCGGTTCCCCCCACCCCCCCAAAAAGAAAAGAAATTAGAAAGTCAAAGTTTGAAGACCAGTGACCAGGGGTCTCTGGAATGTCTCTCGTATGGCACTGGGACAACTCCTCCAAACACAGCAGACTACACCCACACCCTAGTCTCCCAGGCTCTCTCCCTTACCTGCTCTACCCAGACTCCTCAGTGCTTTCTAGACAGCAAGAGTGGAGTCTGGGCATATAGCTCTGTACTAGAGCTTGTGCTCAGCATGCTTGAGGCCCTGGAATTCTTTATTTAAGGAATTATTGTTTGTTTTCTTGTGGCAGGGTCTTGCTACATAGTCCAGGCTGGCCTTGAACTTTCCATGTACTTTAAGCTGGCCTCAAACTCAGAATCTTCCTGCTTCAGCCTCCCAAGTGCTGAGACCATAGCATTCCTCTACTCTTCAAATCCCTGCTACCAATGGGCATCATGGTGCATGCCTGTAATCCCAGTGCTGGGAAGGCTGAGGCTGGAGGATCATTGTAAATTCAAGGTCAGTCGGTGGTAGTAGTGAGTTTAAGGATAGCTTAAACTGCATAATGAGATCTTGTCTCAACAAAACAAAACAAAATAAAACAGGTCCTTGATACTCTCTTGGCCTCACCCTGAGCTACTGTGCTCACACCCCAGCCCCCTCCTGCAGAGCGAGTCCTTCCTGGAGCTCCATGCTGTTGTGGTAGCTTTCAATTTACCTGTGTCACAGTCTCTTCAACCGGATTTAGATTCCTGGGCTCCAGGACTGCCTTCCCCCCTCAGCCCTGCAGGGGCAGCGAGGCGGTTCTAAGCACCTGGCCTATCTTCCCTGCAGGGCCTACCCTGTGCCTGGCAAAAGCAGGCACTCAATGAGGCCTTGTGGAATGGATGAATGAACTTGACTCGTGTCAGAGCAATATAATTTACAAAGCACTTTCCCATCCATTAACTCAGGGCAATTCCCTGTGAGTCCTCCTGTCCTCTGCTGGGCTCAGCATAGGCGTGTACAGTCAGGGCAGCTGAGCGGCACTCCCTGGGTGAGAATGAGGACTTCATCCAAGGAGCCAGGAAGCGCCTGGAGGACAACAATCATATTTGTGCTCCTCCTGCGTCTGCTCCGCCAGGCAGGATTTGTGAAGTATGCTGAATAGAATTGTTTCTGCTCTGAAGAGACAGCAGCCTTCCTCTGGGTGGGTGGGTGGGTGTGGGGTGGGGGGTGGTACTGTGAATTGAACCCAGAGACTTCACTCTGAACTATATCCCTAGACCTACTTATTTATTTGTCTTTTTGAGACAGGGTCTTGCTATGAAGTTTAGGCTGGCCTTGAGCTCACTTTGTAGTCCAGGTTCGAACTCGCAGCAACCCTCTTGACACAGCCTCCTGAGTGCTGGGATTACAGGTGTGCACCACCACATCCCACTCCCTAGCCCTTTTAAAATTTTATTTTATACTTGAGGCAGGGTCTCTCACTAAGTAGTTCCAGCCGGGGCTGGAATTTGAGATCTTTCTGCCTCAGCCTCCGAAATTGCTAGAATTACAAACTTGCATCAGTATGCCCAGCAAGATTCCTCCTTGCTGTTGCTTGCTTGAGTTCAAAGGGAGAGATAGATAAAGCTTTTCATTTCTATAATACTTTGACATGCAAAATCCCCCCCATCCTCTTTACATCTCATTTCTTTTTTTCTTTTCTTTTCTTTTTTCTTTTTTTGGCGGAACCGGGGATTGACCTTAGGCCTTTGCACTTGCCAGGCAAGCGCTTGTTCTACTGAGCTATCTACCCAGCCCCCTTTATCTCATTTTTTTTTTTTTAAATTTTATTCATTTATTTGTGTGTGTGTGTGTGTGTGTGTGTGTGTGGCCAGCTCAGTCCACCAGGGGCGCGGCTGGCTGGCATGTGGTGCTGGGGGATTGAACCATGGTCCCTGTGCTCTGCCAAGCTTGTTCTAAGTAGGTGCTTTAGACCACTGAGCCATCTCACCAGCCCCTTTATCTCATTTCTGATGGGAAAAGATTATTCTTCCTATTTCATAGATGGCAAAGTCAAGCCAGCCTCACACTGGGAAGGCTGAAACAGGAGGATCAATTGCTGCATATTCCAGGCCAGCCTGGGCCACCCAAGATGAATTTAAGGCCAGCTTGAACTGCGGTAGGGAGACTCTACCTCAAAAGTAAACAAGAAGGGGTCAGGGAGATAGCTCAGTGGAATAAGTGCTTGCCTGGCAAGTGCAAGGTGCTGAGTTTAATCCCTGGTACCACCAAAAAAAAAAAAAAAAAGGAAACCAGAAAACATGGAAGACAAAGCCAGAGATCAGGGACTGGGGAGATAGCTCAGTGGAATCAGCGTTTCTCTGGCAAGTGCAAGGGCCTGAGTTCAATCTCCGGTTCCACCAAAAAAAAAAAGATAAACTATGTTAGCCTGGGAGATGGCTCAGTGGAATAAGCGCTTCCCTAGCAAGCGAAAGGGCCTGATTTTAATCCCCGGTTCTGTATAAATAAAAATTTAGGATCCTCCTGTTTTCAGCCTCCCCAGTGCTGGGATACAGGCATGTGCCACCACGCCAGGACTCAGTGGCCGGCTCAGCCCGTTCAGGTCTTTGCGCTTGCCTAAGCAGGTGCTTAGTCTGCTGAACTATCTCGCCAGTCCTCAGAGCCCATTCTTTTGCATCCTCAGAGGCAAAGGTCTTTTCAGTCAGCCACTTAGCTTTTCAGCACCCAGCAGCTGTTTGGGGACAGGCTACAAAAGCTGCTATCTTTTGGAGACTGGCCCTTGAACAGTGCCAATGTGACTGAGGAAAAATTAACCTTTCACTGGTGGGCTTCCGTTCACTCACAAGAGTGCTGAGACACTCCCACAGAGGCAAAGTGGGTACGTTTTATGGGGGTGCTGGCCCATCTGTCAGTGGACAAAGGCCCTGAAAACTGCTTTTGGAAAGTCTCTTATTTCAAACATGGTGGCCCATGCCTGTAATCCCAGCACTTGGAGGCTGAGCAGGAGGATGGCTGGGAGTTTGAGGCCCACCTGGGCTACGTAGTGAATTTGAGGCCAGCCTGAATTATATAGCAAGACCCTATCAAAAAAAAAAAAAAAAAAGTCTCTTCTCTGCACTCCAGAGATGTGTGTGTGTGTGTGTGTGTGTGCGCGCGCGCGCGCACGCGCGCGCCCCCGCGTGCCTGCTGGAGCTTGAATCCACAGCCCAGGCACTAAGCTGCATCCCCCACCCATTTTCTTCCTTTTTTTTTTTTGGTGGTACCAGGAATTGAATTCAAGACCTTGTGCTTGCCAGGCAAGCGCTTATTCTACTGAGCTATCTCCCCGGCCCCTTCACGCATTTTCTTTCTTTCTTTTTTTTTTTTTTCTTTTGGCGAACCGGGATCGAATTTAGGCCCTTGCACTTGCCAGGGAAGAGCTTATTCCACTGAGCCATCCCCCTGGCCCCATCTCACCATTTTCATTCATTTTATTTTTTAAAATTTTGAGTTTCATTAAGTTGCTTGAATTTTTGATCCTTTTGCTTTAGCCTCTGAGAGTGCGGGATCACAGGCCACCACGCCTGGCTACCTGCTGGACTTTTATCCCCAGCTCTCGCCTCAGCCTGGAGTGTATCTCCCTCTTCGTGGTCCCCCACTCCCTCCTCTCCTGAGCAGCTCGGTCCCTCTCCAAACTCCGGTCCCCTAAGAGACCCGAGCGCGCCCTCTAGCGGACACAGGTTGGGGCCATGGCTCCCTCTGATTCACACCCGCTGCAACCGGAGTGCCTGGTCGGACCCACTCCAGGTTGGAGACCCTGATGAGCGCCGTGAAAGCCCTCGGGAGTGGGTGAAGAGCGGAGGTCAGCACACATGCCCGAGTCATCAGAGAACCTGGCAGAGTGTTGTTGGACCCAGGCTGGACAACTGCGTCTCCTCCACCCCTGGGAGTCCCGGCCTCATCTCGGGATGTGTCCACAGGTGGCCTTCGCGCATTCGCCACCTCCTGGTCCAGATCCGATCCCCGCCCGCGATCTGCTTGCGGAACGGTCCTAGTTTCCTTTCTCCTAGCCTGGACAGTCTGTACTCTGGGCCTCGGGGCAGTCCGGCGGGGGCGCGCGGGGAGGGGGGTCCCCGCGGGGTTGAAGAAAAAGGGAAGGGGTGCAGGGAGACTCTCCGTGCCCGCCCTCTAGAAACTACCCGAGCTCCGGGAGCTGCGCCCCCGCCTCTGCCAGAAACTGGCCTTCTTAGAAGGGAGGGGTGTGGGGGGGAAAGTGTGAATGAGAAGTTGGGGGCGGAGCGCGCGCGGGGGAGGGGCCGCTGCCAGGAACGCGCCGCCGAGGCTGGCGCCGCGCCCGCCCGCCGCCTTGGCCGCCTCGCGTCTCGCTTTGTCTCTCGCGCGTCTCCGCCGGTCCTGGCCCCTGCTAGAGGCCAGCCTTCGGCTGCCCGCGGCCCCTCCCTCGCCCTCCGCGCGCGCAGCCTTTCATTGCTGCGAGTAGTGACTAAACATTACAAGAAGGCCAGCCGCGCAGTTCCAGGAATAGGGGGGGCGGGGCGGGGCGCCGCGGGGCGGGGCGGGGCGCCTCGGGGCGGGACTCCACGCGGCGTATATACTTGCGCGCGCGGCCTCCGCGGCGGCTCTGACTCCCACTCCCGGTGCTGTCGCCGCTCCGGTCCCGCACGTCGCCTGCCGGACCCATCTCCTACCGCTGCCCTTCGTCTCATCCCTGTCCGGTCGGCCGCAGGGACGTCGAGGCCCGAGAGACTCGCGCAAGAGGGCGCCTTTGTGGACTTCACGGCCGCCAACATCTGGGCGCTGCGCGGGCCACCACTGGCCACCGCACCGCCGCCTCGCCTGGGGGACCTTAGAAGGCGAAGCCCCGAGGCCGGAGACTTCGGTTCGGGACCAGGTAGGAAGGAGGGGCGCGGTGCGGGGAGGGGTGGGGTCCTCGCTCAGTCTTGGGAGCTTTTCCCGGTTTCTCCTCCCCTTCCCGGGTCCTTCCCGGCAGGGAGGGGACGAGGTAGGGGGGAGAGCGGATGGGAACCGGAGATCCCAGGTTCCCGGAATGCTCGGGCTAGAACCCTCGGACCGCTCCGGTCCCCTCCCTACCCCATACCTCGGTTTACACGCCCCACCACCACCCCTTGCCGCCCGCGCCTCTCTGGGCCGCTGGACCGAGCGGCGCCCGGAGCGTCCTGGGGACCTTTGCCTTGCTCCCCACTTGGGCCGCACTTCTGGACACCAACTTCCTCGCGCGTTTCCCGCTTGCTGTGTCTCTCTGGTCGCTGAGAAGGGACTACGTGGGGCAGAGGCTGGGCGAACTCCGCGGGGCGCGCGGCTCTGCGCAGGGCCAGCGCTGTGCGGCGGAGGCCGGGACGCCGGGCGGGCAGGGAGCGCTGGAGGGTTCCGGGCACTCACGCGGCGCACGCCTTCCTCCCCGCAGACCCCAGGGATGCGGTAGCGGCCGCTGTGCGGAGGCCGCGAAGCAGCTGCAGCCGCCGCCGCGCAGACCCACGCTGGCTCCGTGCGCCATGGTCACCCACAGCAAGTTTCCCGCCGCCGGGATGAGCCGCCCCCTGGACACCAGCCTGCGCCTCAAGACCTTCAGCTCCAAGAGCGAGTACCAGCTGGTGGTGAACGCAGTGCGCAAGTTGCAGGAGAGTGGTTTCTACTGGAGCGCCGTAACCGGCGGCGAGGCGAACCTGCTGCTCAGCGCCGAGCCAGCGGGCACCTTCCTCATCCGCGACAGCTCGGACCAGCGCCACTTCTTCACGCTGAGCGTCAAGACCCAGTCTGGGACAAAGAACCTGCGCATCCAGTGCGAGGGAGGCAGCTTCTCTCTTCAGAGTGACCCACGGAGCACGCATCCTGTGCCCCGCTTCGATTGCGTGCTCAAACTGGTGCACCACTACATGCCGCCCCCCAGCACTCCCTCCTTCTCACCACCTACCGAGCCCACCGAGTCCTCCTCTCCCACCGAGGAGCTTGAGCACCCGTCTGCCCAGCCGCCCCCAGGGACCCCCCCAAGGAGAGCTTATTACATCTACTCCGGGGGCGAGAAGATCCCTCTGGTGTTGAGCCGGCCCCTCTCTTCCAACGTTGCCACCCTTCAGCATCTCTGTCGGAAGACTGTAAATGGCCACCTGGACTCTTACGAGAAAGTCACCCAGCTGCCGGGGCCCATCCGGGAGTTCCTGGACCAGTACGATGCCCCACTTTAAAGAGCGAAGGGCAGAGGTGGGGAAAGGGGCTCAGGTCCCCCTTCCTCCGTGGTACATGGCACAAGCACAAAAATCCAGCCAAGAGTCCTATAGCGTGCTGGGTGAGCTGGGGGTGATGGAAAGCTTTTCTCAGGCCTCCCCTCCTGCCTAAGGGGCAGGCTGGACTGGGAATGTGTTTGAGGGAAGGGGAAATGCCACCTGGGCTCCCCTCCCCTGCCCCAGCTTCTGGGGAGTCGGCTGCCCTGGTGGGACAATAGCAGCAGCGGCAGCGGCAGCGGCAGCAGCAGCAGCGACAAGTGGATTCTCCTCTTCCCTTCCTCCACTCCCCTTCTGCTTTCCAGCTAGGGAGTGTTGAACTTTGAGAACCGGGAATCTTCAAACTTTCCAACAGAACTTGTGCTTTGATTTGGTTTAAACCTGAGCAGGGTGAGGGGCCTGGGATAGAGGATGGAAAAGAGAGGGTGCTTGAGGCACCCCAGGGCTGCAGGCAGGCCCAGGAAATAGCCACTCCTACTGCCCAGCCCAGGTGAAGAGGGAATGGTGGCTGCTCCACTCTACTCTTGGGCTGTGTGACAAAGGCAGGGGGTGACCTGAAGGGAACCATCCTGGTGCCCCAGCCCCTCCCCCTTTCAAGGAAGATGTGGCATTTGCAGGGGGTTGGATGGCTGGTCAGTGCACCTCCTTGTCCTGCCTGAGCTGTATTTCTCAGCACCTGGCCCTGCAGGTAGAGAGATGAGCCATCTCTGATCCCAGAGGATGGATTCGACTTTGTGCCTACTGACTGTCTGGCTAGAGATTTGCCTTAAATGCTCCCTGTCCCATGGATAGGGACTGGCACACGAGGAGCCCCAGTCTGCCCATCCAGGCAGAGAGGGACTAGGGATTCTCCGGAGGGCAGCCAGCCACTGGCCAGAGGATGTGGGTGGGGGATGGAGACCCACACTTTCCAGCCCAGCGCTAGGAGAATGTTAGCCTGTTGGTATTGGCCAGTCTTAGGTGCCTGTGGTCAGAGCAGAGCCACTAGGTCCCATAGCCCTTCAGGCCCTGCACAGCCCTCCCTCCTCCTGGGGTAGGGGGGCAGGAAGTCACCCAGGCGCCTGCCACTCCAGCTGCTCTGGCTCTGCAATAGCACTGATCAGTGACAACTTACAGGAATGTAGCAGCAATGGAATACCTGGAACTGTTCTTTTTTCGGAGGAGAAAACTATAAACAAACGCATAGTTTTCTGTGGCAGGTATCAGGCAAGGTGGGGCAGCTGTGTGTTGGGGTGGTTTTCTTGTTTTTTGTTCCTTGTTTTTTAATAATGTTTACAATCTGCCTCAATCACTTTGTCTTTTATAAAGATTCCATCTCCAGTCCTCGCCCCTCCCCCCCAGCCTTTGAGGCTGTTAGGAAATGCTTGAAGAACTCAACCAAATCCCAATCCAAGTCAAACTTTGCACATATTTATATTTATACTCAGAAAAGAAACATTTCAGTAATTTATAATAAAGAGCACTATTTTTTAATGAAAAATATGACTTGAGCCTTTTCCCCCCACACCCCTTCTCTGCCTTAATTTCTTTCACCCACATCTACAACCCTGCACTGAGGAGAGGGAGGGTGGCACAGAGTGGGCTGGCTCTGCCCGGACTCCTGCACTGCCTTGCTCAGGGCTTCATGTCATTGCGCCTGCCCAAGTGTGTCACTGACAAGCTAAGGCAGCCACCTAGACTGTTGGCAGGAGGGGTAATTCCTGCTAGTCTGATTCAGATCTGACCAGAATATGCAAAGCAAGTTGGAAGGAAGAGCTTCAAAGGGCTTGCAGGGCGTAAATTGAGCTGTGGTCAAAGCTATGAGAAGCTCTAAGCTATTAAGAGGCACAAGGGCTCCTTGGCAGGGCGTGTTCAAGAAAGCAGAGAAGTAGAGGGCCCTGACAGGTGACTGGTGACCTTGACTTTATGGGTTCAGGGAGGTAAGGGGAGACATGACACCCTGAAAACCTTGTGCAGATGGAGCCACCCGGACCAGCTTCTGGGCCATGCTGCACACTTTGGGCTTCTGAGCGGTGGGTTTCATCACGCTCCCTAAACAGCACCCATCTTCTCCCACATCCATACATTTGGAGGCTACTCAGGACGACTCCCAAGATACCCCATTCCCAAAAGCAAAGTAGTCTCAGGCATGATGGCCTTATGCCAGCAGGGAGTTGGACTGGTCACTTTGGGTGCCTAGATAGGTGCTCAACAAATATTTGTCTGCTGAATGGGGGCAGCAGCTCAGGTTCAGGGAGGTTAAACAACATGCCCAAGGACACAGCCCCTGGAAATGTGGGAACAGCATAGGGTTAAACCCAGGAGCTCTGGATTTTCAAAGCCCATAAGCTCCCTGCCTTCCCATGCACTAAATGCCCACAGCTTTCCTCAGGTGAGTCCCTGCCTAAAAAGCCACGTACAAACCCCACCTAGAATCCTTTCTGGCCTTGCTTCCTTCTCCAACTCCCCAGACCTAGCCACTGGGATGTGAGTACTGTCTCCAAATTATGGATCTGGCTTCTTATCTGAGTCCTAGATGCCCAAAAACAAAAGCCAGAGCCTCTTCCAGGCCTCCAGCAGGCGATAAGCTGCTCCAGGAATCGGTGTCCAAAAGGCAACTGAGAGAGTAAATAAACAAAGTCATTTTTCTTTCTCATTTCCTGGACTTTGGGGAAAATGACCTAAAGTAAGGGAAAGGGGCGAGGCCCGGCAGGAGACCACTGAGTGAGCAGAGCTTATTGGAGCCATAGCAGTGGGACCTTCCACTATAGAACTGGGACTGCAAACACAGGTAGGGTCATGTCCCCAGACTAGAGTTCAGGTGAGGGGACTCGGGTCTGACTCCCCAAGCTTCTAGTAGAAGCTCTAGGAAACCTCTGGTGGCTCTTCCTTATCCTGAGCCTGCCGGGCAGCCACCGTGGGCCTTCTGCAGCTGATAGTACCACTTCTGCAAGCAACAGCAGCCTCCGTGGACCCTGCAGGGCTCCATGTCCCTGTCCTTGAGTCAGAGTGTGATCATTTGGCCAAGATGTCCAGTATTAGGAGGGCTGAATGTTGGCTTGGGGGAGATGCAAAGTAAGGACCTACCCTAGCTCCCTCCCTTCCCTAGCCTTCCATCTCTACCTCTGGTCCAACCTCTGGGATCCGAAGACAAGGAAAATGAGAAGGGAAGCAAGTTGATCAATGGCCCCACCTGCCAGTCATCTCTTCTTTGCCCGGCTCTGTAGGCCACTGGTTCCTTCCTCTCCTCCCTCTTCATCCCATCTGTTACACACATCCTGTGCATCTAATCCTGTGTGAGTAGTCCTTTCAGGGAAAGGCATCCTCCCCCACAGGACCTAGTGGGGAGCCCTCTGTCCTGATTGCCAGAAGCTGGGTGCTTCTGGCTCCAAGATGCACTAAGAGGAGCCTGCAGGGCAATTCCCTATGGCTTGCGCAGGTACCCCATGGCCATCAGAAAGGCCCTGTACCCTATTATTCTGCCTTGGACCCTGTAAGAATCTACCCCAAGAGGCCCCATCCTCTCCGGTGGTGCTCTTTATGGGCAGGCCTCCTGATGACTTGGAGCCAAGTCCTTGGGAGGAGGGAGGGAGGGAGGCCAGAGACAGGGGAGCCAGCGATGGAAAATAAACCCGCACGAGGTGTCAGACTAAAGAATGAGTAAGGATGTTTGGGAGGGGACACCACGGGGGTGCCAGGCAGTGGTCTGGGGGTTGGTTGGTTAACAAGGAATCGAGGCAGAGCCCGAACTGCCAGCAAAGGGGACTCAGTCCCAGGATCTCGGCTGAGAGTGAGCAGAACCCCAAGCCCAGGAGCCTCTTCCCGCGCCCCGCCCCCTCCCGTTTTGGCTGCCGCCGGACGGGCGGGCGCGTCGCTCCGAGGCCGCCCTCTGCCAGGAAGAGTCACTTCCCGGACACCGCGGGAGCCCTGGCGGAGCTATGCGAAGAATGTCCGCGCGGAGCGATGGGGGTGGCACCTCCCGGGTCTCACCGCCCTGTGGAGCGTGCGCACCGCGGCACAGTTACGCCCCCTCCAGGGCCGCCACGCCCCCGCCACGCCCCCTCCCGTGGAGCGCCGTCGCCAAGGCAACGGGATTACAGGCGCGGGGCGCTGTTTATTCTCAGATCAGTGCCAGGAAATTCGGCCGCAAGGCTGCCAGGATCGCTTCCCTGGGGTGGGGGCGGAGGGAGCCCGTCATTGGTCACCGGAGGTCACTGACCCCTCCAGGAGGCTGTTCAGAAACCTGACACTCGTCGGGGCCTCGCATGGACCAGGTTTTCTTGTCCCAGAGCCGCTGAGGCCCGCGACATGCCAGCAGAACAACCCCTAACTCCATCCAAGACCCCTATCCCTGGAGGCCCACCCCATTCATTTGTCCTTTCAGCTACTCAGCAGATATCTATTGACGCATCCTATGTGCCAGGGGCTAACCTAGACCCAGAGCATTTAGGGTCCAACACAGACAAGGCCCTGCACAGGGACTTGACAGTCCAGCACCATGCAAGAGTGAGGTTGGATGGGAGCGCCCCAACGGTTAACTACTACAGTTAAATATGTAAATTAAATACAGAGGGCCGTTTGTGTCCCGATGAAACACATCAAGTGGCATTTTCATCACCTAGTCCAAGTATGATTTTATACCACCCTCAGGCAGGGTGACCAGGTTAGCCCAGACTGTTCAACCGACTACATCAGCTGGTCATTCTACCCTCAGTTCAGGATATAGCCATTTTAGAGAAGAAGACACTGAGGCCCCAAACCCAAGGACAGTTCTTTAGAGTCATATGATCTTGGGGCTAGAGAGAGAAGGGAGTGGGTCTGGAGGTTCTAATTTAGTATCCAGGACTCTTTCCACTACACCTTCTCTCTCAGTCCCCCCACCTGGTCGCTAATCCCAGAGAGTCACCATGGCCAGTTCCCCGAGGTGGGATGAAATTGCTGACTCCTTAGACCCCTCTCCCCACTGTTCTGAATCAGCCCCTGATGATAGACCTGGAATCTGAAGTCGTCTCATCAGGAGACTCCAACCTGCAGCCTTTCGGGGATGGCAATCTCTCTTCCTAGATGGGAATTTCCTCCTCGTCCCTTGACTAAACCTGAGCTAGGAAATCAGCAAGGAGGGAAGGCCCCAGTTTGCTGCCTGCCACTGCTGCAGCAAGCCTCAACAAGAGCAGTCTCTCTCTCTCTCTCTCTCTCTCTCTCTCTCTCTCTCTCTCTCTCTCTCTCTCTCTCTCTCTCTCTTTCTCCCTCTCTTCTCCCTCTCTCTCCCTCTCTCTCCCTCTCTCCCTCTCTTTCTATCTCTTATCAGCTCTAGCCCGGGAGGCCTTGGGCCCAAGGACTGTGGGGCAGGGTGAAGGCTGGTGCTCTTTCCCCCAGCACTGAGCCCTCCCAGCTGTGCTGTGCTGGGAACAGGCCAGGCATTTGTGAAATCCATGGGTGAGCCGGACCCACTGTCATGAGTACTGCCTGTGGAAGCTGATGCGGAGGGGGGGGATGGGGGGCTGTTCCCAGAAGCAGGGAGAACTCTGGACTTCCCACTCCTGAGCTCTCCAGATTGCAGCACAGCCTTAAGCAATAGCAGCAGCCTGGAAGGCAGCTTTTGCAGAAAACCAGAGGCCCCGGGCACTTTTTAACCAGAAGCCAGGGCTCTGAATGCTAAAGCTGCGAGCCATCTGCACTCGAATCATCGCTGCTGCAAGTCATAGCAATATTCAATCCGAGCCTTAGGAAAGCCCAGACTTCACAAGAAAAGCCAGAAGGCAGTTCCTACACAAGAAAATGTAGTTCCTCTCTTCCCCCTCCCCTCTCCTTCCCCAAATCTCTCTTTTTTTAATTTTTTTTTCCTTCCCCAAATCTCACATGCTACTCTTTTCATACAGAAAACCTTGTTTAGTATTTGTACTGTATAGGATGTGGAAGGTATAAGCATGAAATGTAAACTCCAGGAGGACCTGAACCTCCAGGAGGTTGCTGTTTTCACAGCTGTGGGGATGCTGTTCAGGATGTGCTCATCTTTGTGGACAGTGCCTTGTGATGCAGTGAGAGATAGGCAGTAGGGTGGCCACAGGGATCCTGAACTGTGAGGAGCCTCAGCAGCAGCACATGCCAGCGCTGGCGAGGATGCCAATACAGGCGGGACACATCCCTGGCCACTCTGCCTAATCCTGGGGACCAGTGACTACCAGGTTACATTCTGGACCTCAGAAGGCTCACAGTCTGAAAGGGGAACCACACCGAAAACCAAGAAGTATCCTTAAAAGGAATGAATATGAAATAAAACAGTTTATAGGGAAATGAACTACTGTGGTTTCCCAGAAGAGGGTCTGTGAATGCAAATATTCCTTCCCCAGGCTTGGAGATCAGGCATCCTAAACATCGGACCAGGGAGGAAACAGCCCCGGAAAAGGGAAATTTGGGGGAAATTCAAGAAGTGTGGTTTCTCCCCACAGGGAACATCCATGCCAGACTCATGCTCTAAAAATACCACTTTTGTCATGACACATATGAATCCTATCCCCAT